CTCACCAATGGACAGATCAACGAGACAAAAAATAAACAAAGACACTAGAGCTCTAAATAAAGAAATAGAACTCATGAACTTAACAGACATCTATAGGACACCGCACCCAAAAAAATCCAAGTACACATTTTTCTCAAGCACGCACAGATCATTCTCCAGAACTAATCACATACTGGGCCACAAGACAAACATCCCAAAGATACATAAAGATCAAAATCATTTCAACTAACTTCTCCAATCATGAAGGCATCAAACTAGAAATAAATCATGAAAAGAAAACAAGGAACCCTCCCACTTCATGGAGATTGAAATCCACACTACTGGAAGACCACTGGACTAATGAGGAGATCAAAGAAGAAATTAAAAAATACTTTGAGCTGAAAGACAAGGAGGACACCACCTTTCAGAATGTATGGGATGCAGCAAAAGCTCTACTAGGAGGAAAATATATAGCAATACAGGCTCGCATCAACAGACAAGAAAGAACTCAAAGAAAAAACCTAATCTCACATCTCAAAGAGCTAGAAAAATAACAAGAAAACCCTAAAGCCAGTAAAAGTAAATAATAAAAACCAAAGCAGAAATAAACAAAATGGAAATTAAAAAAACAATCCAAAAGATCAATGAAACCAAAAGTTGGTTCTTTGAAAAATAGACAATACTCTAGCCAGGCTTACAAAGAAAAAATGGGAGAAAACACATATAAATAGAAATAGAAAACACATATAATCCTATTTAGATTATAAATGAAAGAGAAGAAATCACAACAGACTCAGTAGAAATCAAAAGAATAATCAGAGATTACTATGACTACTTATATGCAAAAAAATTCAACAACCTAGAAGAGATGGACAAATTCCTAGAATGATATAATCATCCAAAGCTGGACAAAGAAGAAATAGAACACCTAAACAGACCAATTACAAGCAGTGAAATTGAGGCAGTAATCAAAGCACTCCACAAAAACAAAAGCCCAGGCCCAGACGGCTTCACAAATGAATTCTATCAAACATTCAGCAGTGAATTATTGCCTATCCTACAAAAGCTCTTTCAAAAAATTGAAAAAGAAGGAATACTACCAAATGTTGTACCACCAAATGTTGGCTTCTATGAAGCCAACATTACACTAATACCAAAACCAAACAAAGACAGCACAAAAAAGAAAATCACAGGCCAATCTCCCTAATAAACACTGATGCAAAACTCCTCAACAAAATCCTTGCCAACAGAATCCAACAATGCATCAAAGGGATAATACACCATGATTAAGTGGGATTCATCCCAGGGGCACAAGGATGGTACAACATATGAAAATTGGTCAGTGTAATCCAACATATCAACAAAAAGAAAAATTAAAACCATATGCTGAGAAAGCATTCAACAAAGTCCAACATCCATTTATGATGAAGGCCCTTGAAATTCTCGGGATAGAAGGAACATACCTTAACATGATAAAAGCCACATACAACAAACCCACAGCCAATATTATTCTTAATGGCAAAAAGCTGAAGGCCTTTCCTTTAAGATCAGGAAGAATACAAGAATACACTCTCTCACCCTTGCTCTTCAATATAATACTGGAGATCCTAGCCAGGGCAAGACAAGAGACAGACATACAAGGAATCCAGATAGGGAAAGAAAAGTAAAATTATCACTATTTGCAGATGATATGATAATATACATAGAGAATCCAAAAATGCCACAGAAAAACTGCTCAAAATAATCAACCATATAAGTTGAGTAAAGTATAAGTAAAATATAAGTTCAGTAAAGTAGCAGGATACAAAATCAACACACAAAAATCAGTAGCCTTCCTGTACACAATCAATCGGAAGAAGAAGAAATTAAAAAAAAATCCCTTTTATAATTGAAACAAAAAAAAATCAAATACTTGGGAATAAACCTAACAAAAGAGGTGAAAGACATATACAAAGAAAATTATAAAACAAAAAAATTATAAAACAAAATTATAAAACAAAGAAAATTATAAAAGAAATTGAAGAAGACACAAAGAAATGGAAAGACATCCCCTGCTCATGGATTGGAAGAATCAACATTATTAAAATGGCCATCCTCCCAAAAGCAGGATACAGATTCAATGCTATTCCAATAAAAATCCCAATGATATTCTTCAAAGAAATAGAACAAACACTGATGAAATTCATATGGAACCATAAAAAACCACAAATAGCTAAAGCCCTACTGATGAAAACAAAGGAGAAAGAAGGTATCATACTTCCGAACTTCAAGCTATACTACAAAGCCATAATAATTAAAACAGTTTGGTATTGAACAAAAACAGATACACAGACCAATGGAACCGAATAGAGATCCCAGAAATAAAACCACACTTATATGGACAACTGATCTTTAACAAAGGAGCAAAGAATATGCAATGGAACATGGACAGTTTGTTCAATAAATGGCACTGGGAAAACTGGACCACCACATGCAACAAAATGCACCTTTCACCATGCACAAAAATCAACTCAAAATGGATAAAAGAACTGGACATAAGACCTGAAACCATAAAATATATAGAAGAAAATATAGGTAAAACACTACAAGACATACATCATAATAACCTTTTTTTAATATTTTATTTTATATAATTCTTAAATCATTTTTCATTTTTGCACAATGTATGCATTTTCATTTTGGTTATATTCCCCATACAATTATACCCCCCTTATTTTGACCCTAATCCTTCCTCTCCCTGCCCCTGCCCCCAGCATAGTGTGTCTCTAGTTTATAGTTGCTTGTTGATTTTGATTTTTACTTTGTATTAATTAGTCTTTTTCCTAGTATCGCAATAACGGACTCATCACCCAAAGCAAAGAAAGTCAAGGAAAAAATAAACACCTGGGAATACATCAAACTGAAAGCTTCTGCACAGCAAAAGTGACATTAACCAAAACAGAGAGACACTCCATTGATAGGGAAAAAGTCTTTGCGCTCCAGTCAACTGATAAGGGACTGATCACAAAGATATACAAAGAACTCACACTGCTCAACAAAAACAAAATAATCAATCCAGTCAAGAAATAGGCAGAAGAACTAAAAGATATTTCTCCAAAGAGGAAATGCAAATGACAAAGAGGCATATGAAAAAATGTTCAATATCCCTTATAATTAGGGAAATGCAAATTGAAACCACACTGAAATACTGGTGTGTATTTCAGTGTATTTCAAGGTATTGCACCAGTAAGAATGGCATGTATCAAAAAAAAAAACAAGCAACAACAAATGTGGGCGAGGATATGGTGAAAAAGGAACTCTCCTACATTGCTGGTGGGAGTGCAAACTGGTCCAACCACTATGGAAAGCTGTCTGGAGGTTTCTCAGTCTACTGAAAATGGAGCTACCATATTGCCTGGCAATTCCACTCCTAGGGATCTACCCAAAGAACACAAAACATTGATTCAAAAGAACACCTGTACATCTACATTTATTGCAGCCCAAAAATAGATGACTGGATCAAGAAGATGTGACATATATACACAATGGAATATTATATAGCAATCAAAAAGATAAACTCATGCCATTTGCAGCAACGTGGATGGAACTAGAAGGAACTATGCGCTGTGAAATAAGCCAGGAGAAAGAAAAATATCAGATGGTTTCACTTACAGCAGGAATATAGGGGAACCAAATAAGACATCAATGTAAAAAAACAGTAACAGTACAAAATACAACAAAGCAAAAATGGACAATTATAAATCAGAGACACATTGAAGGGGAGGAGGAGGGAGAGGGATCAGAGGGAGGAAGGGAGGAGAACAGGGGACTAAGATGATGGCGCACAGGTGCATTGGTGAAGGAAACTCTATGGGGACTACACCTGAGGGGGTGGGAGGAAGCAAATATTGTCAAAAATGAAAAATGATGTAAAAAAATAAAAAAAATTAAAAATATGTCTTTCTGAGTACCACACTCTTGAGGCTGATATGACAAAGTTTCAAAGCCATTCCCTTTGAAATGAAAATTAACATAATCATGAAGAACTTAAAAGTATACGGCATTATACTAGGTACTGAATTATTTTCCACTAAGTTTTCCTCCCTTCTGTATTGTGTGTGTGGGCGGAGGGGGAATCACACTATACCCTAAGAACCAAAATCATACTCCTGATCCCCAAATCAATGATTTTTAGCCACAAATGTTAAATGATTCCAATGGCATTTCAAGAGTTTCAACAGTTCTTAAAATCTTACATAGATTGGTCATTGGAACACATAGAAAATAGCCACAAAGTGAATTAAAAATATGTACAGTCTCTAAGGTCAATGAATTTCATTTGAATAGTTATATTGCAGCAAATTGGTAATTTAAATTTCTATATTTGCCAACTGTTTTCTGCTGAGCCAATCAAAGGTATACCAACACTCATTTGTAGCTTTCTGTTTACAATATTTTTATTGAAATTGTTGCATATAAACCTAATCCTTGATTATTTAATTAATATCATCATTAGCCTTTACAAAAGAGAAAAGTTATTAGGTACTAGTAAGTAAATTCAACTGACCTCAAGTCATCTCACTTTACACCTCATCACATCCATCAAGAAAGGGGGATAATAAAGGGAAGTTTGCAGCATGTGATGCCAGGCAAAGAAACACCTAGTTCAACTGTTAAACTTGTAGTGATTTTGAGTCAACTTCCCTGAAGTATTCTATAATCCCATGTAAAGCCTCTTGGTTGGTACCAATAAATCTCACCATATTACTAACGCAAAACTATGAGATGCAGTGGATGAGAATGAGAGGGTAAGAAGACAAGAAAACAGAAAAAAAAAAAAAAGCAATACCAAAAGGGAATTTCATTTAGAAAGGAGTAATCACAAATAAACCAAAGGAAATCAGTCCAAAAATGCCAGACTATGAACATAAACTCTGTGAAGGGAGGCTGACCTGGCTGCAGAAACCCATATGCTCAACAGCAAAGTTTGAGAAAATATCTTTAATTTCCCCCAATCATGACCAAAATCCACTTTTACTTACCCAATAACTTGGTGCTCATAATACTGCAATGTCCTCTTGAGAGTCTGCTGTATCGTCTGAGGCTACAGAATAATAATAATAATAATAATAAAAACATTATCAGCAAATCAGTGTCATTCCCATTGTGAGCATCACAGCAGATATATAACTTCTGGTTTAGCTCATGGCATTTTTACAATATTAACCCAGTATGCACTTTCCCATATATCTTCCCCACAGGAACTAATAAGAGGCACTCAGCAATTACCCAGAATTTCCCAATTTCAAGTATGATAGCATTTCCTAGCCATATTTTTCCAGTTCTTTTGTACCAGCTGTTTGGTTCAGTAAAATACTCATAGGTACTGCCGATAAACCTAGGCTTTGTGGACGGAGGTGGGGGAGCAGTGAATGAATATGGATGTGTCATGGTCAAGCCTGAGAGATTTCTAGCAAGGGTTCTGGGATCTCTTAGAGAAGTGATATTGTTTTGGGCAAGAAATGTGATCTGCAGCAAATACCGAAGTAGCTTATGACCAGATTTTATAACTATCTTATAACTATTTTCTTATATATATCTTATAACTATTTTATAGTTATAAAAAGATAGTTTTTTAATAAATTATTCTTACACATATTTAGGCAACAGAGCCTGAAGCCAGAAGTTTCAGATCTAAGGAGCAATGGAATCAATTCACGATGCCAGAACACGTATTTTCTTAACAAATCAGATTCAGAACCAAATTCTCGGCATCAGGAAAATGAATTTTAAAATAATAAAAACCTGTAGTTGATCAAAAACGGGTAAGAGCTACACAAGTTTATCAAGAAATGGATGCATTACAGACATGGGTGAATTGGGGAAATTTAATGACTCCAGTTTAGACCCATCAAGATGTGAGGCAGTATGGTTGGACTGATTAACTAAGATAAGTCTAAAAAGGCAACATGCTAAAGGGCCCGGCACAGTGCTGCTACCTATAAATCAGTTAACAACTCTCAGTTTATTTCCCATCCCTGACCCCTCAACATAGCCGTTAAAATAAATAATTTAAAGGAGACTACAGAGGTCATTTGTCAGAGCTCCTGAGCTGCTTCCAAGTCAACCTCTTTGTGAAAACTTCCAGGATAGAAGAAACCATCTCCCTACCTAGCCCTTTTCCAAGTTTCCATGGAAATGGCTGTTTTTAAGATAGAGGAAAATGAGCTTCCCTTAGCATCCACTGAGGCCTACTCAATCTCACCACTGAGGAAAGCCCTTTCACTGACCATTCCAAGACCTCAGATATTGTCTTTTCTACAGCTGATCCTATTCAGAAATTAATTTTAGGAGGAATCAGACTCCAAGTGTTCAAAGGTAGGACAGGGCAAGTTATCTCAACAGTTGTTTTCCATTTATACCAGGTTGAAAAGATGAATGTGAGGCCTCAAAGTGGCACAGATGTTTCTGCTCATCAGGAGAGAATCAAAGCTGAGAACACAGAAGGAAGCCTGGAGAGGAAAATCATTCCTGAATGGAGAAGCAATGGAGCTGTTGAGATGCAAACGAGGGCGAGGCAGACACAGCAGTCCTGGTGCAGCGGGACAGCATACTTCAAAAACTCAACCATAGCCAACCTAAACCCAGCCATTATCAGTCACCAGCTCAGGCCCCAGGAGAAATGGACCTCTTGCAATGGTTTGGCAGTTTCTCAGCTAAGATAACTTTCTCTTTGGCAACATGCCCTAAAAGCAGTGAATATCCACAGTGGAATTATCCTGCCAATAACCTCTGGTCACAAAACATGGAGCAGCACGCAGGCACCAGAATACTCAGAGCCAGAATGACCTCATTTGTACAAAAGGACAATTTTTTCCCTCTACCAGGAATTTCCCAGTCATTAAAAAGCACATGTTTGTGAAAGATGTCAAGCCTTTTAAAGAGCTTTAAGAGCTTTTCTCTTTGTGAAGCAATTTACTTTTACTCCCCAGCAGGAGATAAATTTATGGTTTCCAAATACATGAAAAGGAAAATATTCTCTGGACACATTCAACAAAGCTTCAATTTCATAAAACAAATATACTTCCTAATTCTTCCATCCCAAATGAGTGGACACGTCCTGGGGGGCAAACCTGCAAAGAGAAAGACTGACAGCAGCTCCTGTACCTGAGAGCCACGGCCGATGTCACCATCTACCTGCTCCTCAGAATGCCTCCTCACCCTGAATTCACGCCAATCTTCTTCAGAATGTGAGTGACTGCTCAACCTGTGGCTTTATCTGTGAGGGGCATCTTCACATCAACTCAGGTCTCACTGACCTGAAAAAGCATGAAATGAGGACTCCCTGGAGGCAAAGCCTTCCATGGGGTGGTATCTGCCTTGGGGATTGTAGGACTCTTTGTTAGTTGTCCACGTAGGACATGTAGTGAGTGTCAATCGGTGAGAAAGGGAAGGATTTGAAGACACAAGGACCTTTGCTCCTCTTCTTTAAGACTGTAACTCCAACCTGTACCCTAGTCCACAGTTCCACCCAACCTTCCACAGGTCAAGACCCCAGTTCTCTTATGTATGTTTAGAAAGATGGCTCTGAGAGTTTAGAAAGATGATTTAGAAGAGAGGATGTAAGGTCAAACTCAGTTCAAAATCCAGCTCTGTGTTTCACTAACTAGATGGCCCTGGGTAGTTGACTTAATTTCTCTGAAAGAAGATTCCTTTGTGTATGGTATTTTTATAGAATGAACTGAAATAATGAAAGCAAAGTCTATAGCACATAGTAGGTGTGTAATCGATAACAGTTATAACTACGGTCTGCTGAAAAACATGGTTTTATCTTCACAAGGCTTGTGATCTAGTGGAGGAGCACTCAATCACCCCCAAGCTCACATTTCTCCTAAAATATCAACAGAGCTACCATGCCCCTGCTAACAACGTGATGATGATGCCAAGTCCAGGACACAGAGGGAGAGCAGGGACAAGGCTGTTGAATTTGTAAACACTGCCAATGAAACCTTCATATCAGTCCAGGGAGATGGTTACAAAAGCAGAATTCTCACAATTAAAAATGAGGACAGACTTTAAGTCAGGACTGCAAGTGGGAAGGGCATGGAAGCAACACAGCTAAAATTCCAATCCAGACATTATATTTTACAACTAATGAGAGACAGTCCATGAACTTCCTTCTGAAGACCCAAAGAATGTAAAACAGGAGAGCTGGGTGGCCTAATAATTTTAGTGCCATATAGTACAGGACAGGACCCATTAGGGTAGGGAAGGAGACAGAATCCAAGTTTCCCTCACTAAAAAAAAAAAAAAAAAAAAAATCAAAATCAAACATCTTTGATTTTTCTGTTTCCCCCAAATGAAAACACAGTGTGTGGTGTCTTATTGACCCCCACCCAACACAAAGAAGCAGTGGCTAGTGAAAGCAGCCATCTGTGTCCCCACACACATACTCTCTGGGCTCAAATAAGGCACCCAAAAACTTCCATCATGTGACAAGAAGCCACCTTCATCTCCAGTCTCACTAGGGGCTTCACCACTTGGCGGGCAGTTTTGCACTAAATGTCGTGCTCAGGAAAGGTCATGGGATCCAAAGAGCCAGCCATGCACAGTCCCAGAAGAGCCAGAGAAATGATCCCTGAGGAGTGGGAGGAAGCAGTTCCCAGCAGCTGGCCCTGCAAGCGCAGACAGCCCCGCGGAGGCTCCCACACAGTCCCTGCTCTGGATATCCGCACCAGATGGTGTGGGGAGCAGGCAGGAGGCAGGGAGTCAAGTTCTGTTTGTGTGTGTGTGTGCGCGAGTACACGCACACGCACGCATGCATGGACATAGCATGAAATGCAGCTATCACAGTACTTAGCACATGCTCATCTCAATTTCAAAAGAGAAAGAAGTTGAGGCTCAGCCTGGTTAAGTAAGTCTGGTAAGCTCACGCAGCTAGAAAGCGAGTCAGTCACAGCAAGACACCACTGGCTTTAAAGTGTGTTTTCTTTCTACTAGATTCCCTGAGGGCCCCTCTCTTCCTTAATATAATGAAATTCATATTCTTTTTTGATATATACAATACTTCACGTGCCAAAACCAAAAAATTTACAGATAAAAACAAACTCATTTCTCCTTTGTAACACAGGCTGAATAAGTTACAGAATGGAGACAATGCATCTGCTTTTAAAGAAACACCCATAATTACCCATATTGTTTTATTTACTTAAATATGAAAAATTATATAACAATGTCAGAAACTAAGTGATGTAGATATATATTTAACTATTAATGCTCCAGTGGTTTTCAACTCTGCCCAATAAAATCACCTGGGGAGTTTGTCTTTTAAATACTAATACCTGAGATCCATCCCAAATTTGCCAATTTAATTGGTCTGAGGGACCCAGTTGCTTCTAATGTATATTCAGGATGGAACACCTGTCAGTTATGGTGTAAATATGATGATTCAGAGCAATACTTTATAAATTTTACCCAAATAAACACTAATGAGAGTAATTTCATATTCTAATATCAAAAGTAGTAAACTTCTGAGAAAGGTTCACACATCACTGGTAAATCCAATATAGTTCCATTTATAAACTGTCACTAATGGCTTAAGATCAAATATGAATTTGTTAAACAAAGAACTATATTGCTTGAAGCATATCACAAGGATTTTTTTCAATTTCCAAGCAACTTACTCCCTGTACTTATTTCTTCATTCCATTGCTGTTGCTATAACAGAGGCAGCTCCGTAAAAGGGGGAGGAACCATGTTCCCACCTCCACTTACATGCAGCAGCCTTGGACTAGCTACTGGAACTAGGGCGGGGCTGAGCATCCAGGTATAAATATATAACATGGGGCAGGTGGGCTTGGGGAGACATGCAGAGAAGGGCTCACTTGCTTCTCCTCACCAGGGACTTAGGGGGCTTGGAGGAAACATGGAAGAAAGACAAGTAGGGACAAGTGACAGAGACAAGTGGGTGAGAGACAAGTAGGCAGGTTGATAATGGCAGCCATTATCTTGATTTGTACTTTGATTTTGCTCCTATTGTCCCAGACTTGCCTGACCCCTTTCATTCCCTTCCTATGGTCCCCACCAAAAAGTGCCTTAGACCTG